GAGACCAATTAGAAGACTCTAGCAATGGTCATGTGACTGGAGATAAGGAAACAGGTGTACCTGGATAACTAAAATAATTGTGATGCTTTCAAAAGGAAGCAGTAAAGCTGGAGGGAAAGTTAAGGGAAAGAGAGGGCGGGACATGGCTAATGACCCCATAGAGAACAATGGAAAGCAGATTAGACTTGTTTTTCTTGGCCTCAGAACTAGGAGCAACAGAATCTGGGGAGAGGCAAATTTAAGAAAACTGTTAATAAATGGAAGTCCATAAAATTTAAAAATCATATAAAAAGATGAAGTGAAAGGAAGTATTTTTGCCTCCTCCACAATGAACTCAAAAACCTCTCTGTAAAATTCTGACTTTAAAGGCCAAGAAAAAAATCACAGTGAATGATATTTCCAGCCCAGTGCAGCTAATGGAGCCAGAGAAGTCTGCAGATGCAAGGGCTGGCCAGAAGCATGTGTGGCAGCAACAGTGAGGCGTGTTCCAGTGCCTAGGGAGAGAAAGAGGGTTGAGACAGGGCACCAGAACAGAAAGAAATCCCAGAGGATTCCTGAATTAGCACTTAGCGCAGAAGCATACTGCCACTTGGCCGCAGTGTTGCTCATTACCCCAACTCTGGGTCACCCAGAGCAGAAAGGAACACTTGCAAGTGTGCATGGCTCTTAAATGTGCACCGATCAAGGAACAAGTTCTCCAACCACATCTGTGTGACTCTCTAATACCAGGAGAAGAGCAGCAAGGACCAAGTTCTGACCTTTAGCCCACTAAGTAAGCCCTCAGAGCATGAGTCCTAGATAGAAAGCTAGCCAGCAGTTCAGCCACTCTGAACCTGTAGAATCTTCCAGCAGGTTAACTGTGACTGGACTCAGCAGCAGTCTACTGACTCTCAACCACACACAAGACAGCAGACTCAAAACTGGTTCAGGAATTTGTCACACACAGACCAGGAGTGTGGTAAACATATGTCTCCCTGGTCATACCACTTTGGCAGCACTGAAAATGTGCAGGCCCCCAAAATGAGCTGTGAAAGCAAGCAGAAGAATGTAAAAGGCCAGAAGCTCAGGCCAGACATCTCCTTCCCCTCCCCCGAAGTGTACAGTGCCCAACATTAACAGAGTTCAAAGTCAAGAAGTAGACCACAAAGTTACTATGGTAACAGGGAGGGTCAAGACTAAGAAGAGACTTGAAAACATCAACAAGCAAAGCCTCAAAGAAAAATGCAGCTTGGACACACGTCCAATAAGGATTTCAAGAAGAGTTAAAAAGTTGAGAGAGAAAAAGAAAATCAAACAAGAGTTATGGAAGAAAGATATGAAAACAGGATTAAGAGCTTGAAAAAAGAGGAAAAACCTTACTGAAGAAAACTCCTTGAAAATTAAAATCGGTCAAATGGAAGCTAACGACTCTACAAGACATCAAGAAATAATAAAACAAAGTCTGAGAAAATAAAAAAATGGGAAATCTCTCACAGGAAAAACAACTGACCTGGAAAAGACTGAGGACAGATAATTTAAGAAACATTGGGTTATGTGAAAGCCACGAAACAAACAAAAAGGCCTAGATGTCATATTAGCAGAACTTTCAAAAGAAAACTGCCCAGAGAGCTTAGAACCACAGGGCAAAGTATGAACTGAAAGAATCCACTGGTCATCTCCTGAAAGAAGTCCCAAAATGAAAACTCCGAGGAATGTTAGAGGTGAAACCCAGATGTCTCAGATAAAATTTGCATATTCTCATTTAGAATAGGACCTCCTAATGTAACAGATAATCTTTTCCCTTGACATCATTTAGTCAGTATTTGAATTTGTCTCAGATTAGTGCTACTACCTTCTTTTGAAGGTAGCATGGAAAAATTTGGACTACCAGCTTTAATCTATTTAACACTTCCTAAATTAAATGTTTCTATAAACAGTGTGCTAATGGATCTTAAGTTTTTCTGAATTCAGTTAATTTACATTTTGTTACAACTATAAATGTTTTACCAGCTGTTATCTTAAAAAATGTTATTCAATTTATCAGTATGGAATACAAACGCTTTTAAAATAAATTTTGCTACTAATCCATACTTAATTACTCTAGAGGTCCTTACCTTCTTTTGTGTTATGAACTCTTTGGCAGTCTGGTGAAACCCATGGACTCTTTCCCACAATGTTTTTAAATGTATAAAATACATAGGATTACAAAGAAAAGCAATCATATCAAAATAGTTATAAAAATGTTTTTAAAAATTCAGATTTTTCCTTTTAAAAAAATGAAAACTTCAATTTGAGGTTCTCTTATTGAATCCTTCCCCCTTTGTTTTCCTGAAACAGTGATTTTAGTAGACACGATACTCCTAGATCTTGATCTAAGAAGTATGAATTATTTAAAAATATCTTTTTGGCTTGGGGGCTCAGCTAACATGGGCAGCAATGTATCCTAAGCATACCCTGAAAGCCGTCCAGAACCCCGTGAAGGTGCATCCTGTAGGTGCACCATGAACTGTCAAGTGCTGTGTGCTGGTATATTATTCCCTGTGCTACTCCAGGGAGTAACCTACAGGTACTCCAGGGAAGCTGCTAATAAATTACCTAAATACAAATTATTTAATTCCAGAGTAGGTATAGGTTGGCAGGTGTAAGAAACAAGATGAGCTCCTGGAAAGGGTTATCCAGAGAAGACAAAAGTGAATGATGGATTTCACCTCTTCCAGAATTTTGAGTCTGGGGCTACTTAACAGCTTATTGTGTTAAAAAAATATTGCTGTTGGGGCAGCAAGGTGGCTAAGTGGATAAAGCATTGGCCCTGAGGTCAGGAAGACCTGAGTTCAAATCTGGCCTCAGAACAAACACGTGACACTTATTAGCTGTGTGACCCTGGGCAAATCACTTAACCCCAACTGTCTAAAAATTAGAAAAAAATATTGCTGTTACCAAAGGGGAAATTCCTTGGTCTGGTGGAGCTAACTAGCCCAGAGTGGGGCTACAATAAAAATGATTTTTCCAGGGTTGGATTTAGCCTTCACTTTGGTGAGTACAGGAGGAAAACAAAGAACTCTTACTAAGATTATTCCATGAAGCATAACTCAAGCCTAAGAATTATCTGAAACCTTTGTACATTTTTAAGTTTTACATATGACTTCACATGCATTATTTCATTAACATGCACTGCCACTTACTACCTTAGGCAAATTACTTATCCCTCTCTGGGCCTCAGTTTCTTAATCTATAAAGTAAGGGGGCTGGCTTACATGAACCCCAAGAACCCATCTTACCTGAACTTCCACTAATTATAAATTTATCTGGACCAATAAATAAGCATTCTTGGGAAAGTTACAGATTTGGGGTTTCATTTAGCTACCTCAACAAGAAAATATCCCCATTAAGATGCAATGAAGGACAATTAGCCTAGAGGGCAGAAGGTGGGGTGCAAGGCAGAAGGGACTTATGGAGTATTAAAAACAAAAAGTCAAGAATCAGTTTTAGTATAAGAGCAGGGGCCTTAAGCAGCTAATGAATCATTTATAAAGTCTCTCTATAATAGGATTTTCTTGCTATTACATCAGATTAAACACTTCAAATAAAAGTTTTCACGGCATCAATTCATTTAAGTTCACTTCAATAATGATCTTCTGTGTGAAGGACACTGTGACAGGTCCTGGGGGAAAAACACTTTTACATACAACAGCCTCTGCCATCATGAACTTATAGTATAGAAACGACATGTCCAGAGAAATATAATTTAAAATAATGCACATTCTATTAGGCACAAAGTGCTATGTGAAATCTGGGGACACAGCAGGGCATGGAGAACACGGGGTTATGGAAGACTTCAAAAAGGAGCATTTGAGTTGGATTTGAAGGATGAATAGAATTCAAGTGGTCAAAAATAACCTAAGCATAGGAAACAGCATGAACAGAAAACACGTATTCAGGGAACACATGTGGTTTGACTGAAGCAAAGAGTACATGAATTGGAATAGCAATTGTGTCTAATTCTCTAATGTCTAACTGTGGAGTACTGGTATGTTATATAGCAGGTGCAGGAGTTTCAATTGTTCTCTGTAGGTTACTGAGAACCATTAAAGATTTTAGAGCATAAGTATGACATGATCAAATAAATCTAGCGTGAAAATGGCAACTCTGTAAAGGATGAATTGGAGGGTCAAAAGAACAGAGAAGGAAAGACTTTTTAGTAGATTGTTGTGTTGTTCCAGGCAGGTGGTAGGGAAGGTTTGTATTAGGATGATAAGGGTGGGAACACCTTAAGAGGAGAATGCACAAATTATAATACACATATTGTGTTCTACTGCCTACTAGACTGTGATCTCCAAGACTGCAGGTAAAACATATCATTATAGCTCTGTATTTAAGCATGGACTTGCAAAGTTCTCTGCTTACAGAATGAGCTAAATGAAAATTTGTTAAACGGACAAATCAATAAGTGAAATAAACTAAAATAGGACTTGGTTAAGTAACTGGGTATGTGAGGTGAGGGAGAGGGAAAACCAAACATAAAACCAAGGTTTCAAACACAGCAAAGAGAGGAGAATGGTGGTATCAATGACAACTAAGCCAAAAGAAAAAGCAGGTTTAGGGGCAGAGGCAACAACAACAAAAAGTTCAGCTTTGGACATGTAGGGTTTGAAATGATGGGTGGCACTTTAATGGAATCATCTTGTAGGTAGTAGAACATGTGGGTCTAGAGCTTGGGAGAGAGCTAAGAGCTAGAGATAATGATCCAGGAGTCAACTTCAGTTCATGTAGTTGTAGGCACAGAAATAAATGATATCGCTAAGGCAAAAAAAAAAGGAGAAATAGAAGAGGAACAAGAACAGAACTTTGGAAAATAATTTCCTTAAGCTGTCTAGAAGTGGATGAGGAACTAATTAAGGAGGCAGAGGAGAAACTGAAGAGATTACATGAGAATTGGAAGTGTGCCCCTTTTGAAATTTAGGAAGGAGAAATTATCTAGAGAGGTGTACAATAACGTCAGATATCACAGCAAGATCAAGGTGAAAATTGAAAATGCTACTATATATGCGAACAGGCCAATTTTGACACAACAATTTTGTTAGACTATCAGGATGAACATGGACTAAGATGTGCATAGAGTGAGGTGTGTTTAGGCTGCAACCTGCAATTGAGTACCCACGTTGATGAGCTCATGGATTCACTGAAGTACTGTCAGGATGAGGGGTTTGAGGTTCACAAGACTTCTCTCCAATGTGACTTTTCTGATGATTAAGGGACGGGCTGTGGTTGAAGGCTTTACCACTTTTGTTATTTTTAAGGGGTTTCTTACTTGTATGATTTCTCTGATGGTGACTATGTTGTCGGCTCCATTTATGTGGTTCCTTTCGAGTATGAGTTTTGAGATGGGAAGTAAGGGATGAGTTGTGTTTGAAGGCTTTCCCACATTCATTACATTCATAAGGTTTTTCTCCTGTATGAATTCTCTGATGTACAGTAAGATGGATGATCTGAATGAAGGCCTTTCCACATTCATTGCATTTGTGAGGTTTCTCTCCAGTATGGATTTTTTGATGGCAAGCAAGTGATGAGCAGTTACTGAAGCATTTACCACATTCATTGCATTTATAAGGTTTCTCCCCAGTATGAATTCTCCGATGGTTTTTAAGGGATGATCTATGATTAAAGGCTTTCCCACATTCATTACAAGTATAAGGTTTCTCTCCAGTATGAATTCTCTGATGGTAGGTAAGGTAAGAACTATCCATAAAGGCTTTACCACATTCTTTACATTTATAGGGCTTCACTCCAGTATGGATTCTCAGATGGGAACTAAGGGATGATCGGTGGTTGAAGGTTTTTCCACATTCATTACACACGTGAGGTTTCTCTCCAGTATGAATTCTCTGATGTACAGTGAGTTGTATGCTCTGGATGAAGACTTTTCCACACTCATTACATATGTGGGGTTTCTCATCAGTGTGAATTCTTTGATGTACAGTGAGCTGTGTCCTACGTATGAAGGCCTTCCCACATTCATTACATTTGTGGGGATGTTCTCCAGTATGAATTCTTTGATGTGCAGTAAGTTCTGTGTTCCGGATAAAGGCCTTTCCACATTCATTACATTTGTGTGGTTTCTCTCCAGTATGAATTCTTTGATGTACAGTAAGCTGTGTACTTCGTCTAAAGGCCTTCCCACACTCATCACACATATGAGGTTTCTCTCCAGTATGACTTCTCTGATGTACAGTAAGTTGTATTCTCTGGATAAAGGCTTTCCCACATTCGTCACATTTGTGGGGTTTCTCTCCAGTATGAATTCTCTGATGTACAGTAAGTTGTGTGTTCCGGATAAAGGCCTTTCCACATTCATTACATTTGTGGGGCTTTTCTCCAGTATGAATTCTTTGATGGTAAGTAAGTTGTGTGCTCTGTCTGAAAGCCTTTCCACATTCATTACATAAGTGGGGTTTCTCTCCAGTATGAATTCTCTGATGTACAGTAAGTTGTGTGCTTCGTCTGAAGGCCTTTCCACATTCATTGCACTTATGGGGTTTCTCTCCAGTATGAATTCGTTGATGTACATTAAGTTGTGTGCTACGTCTAAAGGCTTTCCCACATTCATTGCATTTATGAGGTTTCTCACCAGTATGAATTCTCTGGTGTTCAGTAAGGCCAGTTTTCTGACTGAAGGTCTTCCCACATTTGTTGCACTCAAAAGTTTTCTCTCCAGAATGGAGTCTATGGTTTTGAATAATGCCTGTATTATAGCTGAAGGATGTCTCACATTCACTATACTTAGAAAGCTTCTTTGCTGAGAAGATTCTATTGCATTTAGCTATGTGTGACTGTTCACTGGAATTCTTTCCATAGTCATCACATTTTGGGGGACTATTTCCTATAGGAACTCTCTGTTGAGGAAAAAGGGCTGACTCCTGATCAAAGTTTTTCCCAAATTTATATTCATGGCTTCTTGTTTTACTTGTCCTTCGAGTTAATTTTCCTTGCCTAGAAAGTCCTTCTGACCTGATATCATATTCCCTGGCTTCTCCCAACATGGGGCCCCAGGGATTATCCCATATGAACCTTTCCTTGGATGATTCTTCTATAAAAACACCCAGCTTCCATGATGATACCTTGATTTCAGGTTGTTCAAGTTTCTCCCCATCTGAAAGAAATAAAAGACAATTATCCCACCTTCCTTGCTGGGAGAATGAAAGCAACTATAGTTGATCCTATATTAACCAACAAGTGTAAGAATCATGATAACAAACAGGCCTTGAAATCAGGAACACCTGGCTTCAAGTTCTATCTCTAAATCCTCATCCTGGGGGTGTGATCCTGGGCTAGTCACTTAACCTCTAAGGGCCCCAGGCACCTCTCTAAAACTAGAAGTTGCCCAGCAGGTACAGTTCTACATTGATAAAGGGAGTTTCCTCACTGGAACTTCAAAAATAATAATAAAAACATCACTTATATTTATATAGTTTTGAGGTTTGAAAAGTATTGTTATCTCATTAAATCCTAACAACAACTCCAAGGGGTAGGTGCAATTATTATTCCCATTTTATAGATAAAGAAATGGAGGCTGAGAGAAGTCAAGTCATGGTCATATTCATTCATTTTCAGTCATGTCCCCAAACCCTATTTGGGTTTTTTTTGGCAGAGATATTGGAATGGTTTGCCATTTCCTTCTCCCAGTCATGGTCCAAAGACCATTATATATACTTTCTTATTTGTTCCTTACAACAGTCCTGTGAGTTAGGCAGGGCAGGTATTATTTTTCTTTACAGATGAGGAAATAAACTAGTTAAGTGATTTGCCCCAGTATAGGAGGTACTAGAATCTAGTTTCTGATTCCAACTCCAGGGTTCACGCTACTACAGATTGAAGCCCTGAATGGTCAAGTGATGCGCTTGCTACACATAGTCAGTAGCAGAGCCACTGCTGACTCCAAATCCATTAATCTCTCCACTGTTACCATACTGTCATCCTATCTTTGATTTCCAAGTTTAAAAATGCTAAAAGAATGATTTCTAAGTTAAATGAAAATTAAGCTACAATTTCATGATGCTTAATGAAAAGGGACAGAGACAGGATCTGGGATTTCAGTGGTACAGGGAATTCCCAGATGAGGAACTTCCCTTTACCGCTGTATTGAATTTGATTGCCTAGTAAAACCAATCTTAAAAGACAAAAGAACACTTTTTTGAGGGATACTGAATAAGATGAAATAGAAATTTTAATAAAATGGAAAATGTCTATCAATTCTTAGGCTGAATAAACACCCCTGGGGTTAGCTTTTATAAATAGTTCTTATTAAACTCTAAAACATGGAGATTCTAACAAATCAGATAGCAATAATGGAAGCTGAGACCATACCTATTATTTAACCCAGTCATGACAATGTTTTAGGCAGCTAGGTTGCACGGTGGATAGAATGTCAGGAAGACTCATCTTCCTGAGTTCAAATCTGGTCTCAGATAGCAGTTGTATGACCCTGGGCAAGTCACTTAACTCTCACTTTCCTCATCTGTAAAATGAGCTGGAGAAGGAAATGACAAACCATTCTAACATCTTTGCTAAGAAAACCCCAAACAGGATCACAAAGAGTCAGACATGACTGAAAAACGATCAAACAGCAAAACAATATTTTATCTTCATGTGGATAATTTAAAATATAAAACATATATCTGCCAAGGCCAAAGTCAAATAATATGACAAGAATTTGTCTACAATTATTATTTTTTTTTAAAAGCCCATGATGTTGCACAGGGGAATGGACAGAAAACTCAAGAAATTTATCTTTCTTAGAATTTATAGTTCACTGTAATGAATTTCATAAAGGAAGCCCAGAAAAGATATTAAGCAATACTATGTTCTTAAAAGGCAAAAAGGAAAAAAAAAGTCAAATTCCAAATTGTTATTGTAGTATGCTATGTAATGTTCATAGAGTTTATAACTGATAACATACATGGGCAGTCATGATTTCTGAGGTTATTTTTTTTTCAGGTTCCCTTAGAGTAAGTATTCTTCCTGCTGAACTTAATTTGCAGCAAAGATGAAGTAGAATTCATATTTTGAAAAATAGAAGGAAATAATGTCTCAGTTTAAAAAGTATTATTTTATAAAGTCTTGGCCATTCTACTTTTATTTTTAGAAACATGCTTGACGTTGCTATGCTCTCTAAAGTAAAAAATTTAAATCTCATTTTTAGAGGCTGATTAATAATTGTGTATTTCTCTTTAATGAAAAAAGTTGTGTATTTCACATTCTTTCTATTTTCTGGTGCCAAGAACCAGCCACTTTCAGTAGTACTGAGTGGTACTTCTCTGCACACTCTGGGCCAGGAGGAGGGGGCTATTCTCCTTGCTGTTTATTGCCACTTGCATCCCTTTTATTAACATTATCACTCAGTAACTTCTTTGCAGTTCATTTCTTTTGTTTCTACTTAGTCCAGATCCTTACAGTCATTTCCCAGTCTCCATAGTCTCCCTCACTTCATTGACAATGAGTTTAGTGTGCGAATTCACTTGCTTATTCGCTATTCTCTCCTTTCTCCACTGCCCCCCCCTCCAAATTCATCAACCTCTTCCAGTTCCATGAGTTACATCTTTATTCCAACTCAGCAATCCACAGGGAAGGTCAGGTCTTAGATTTTACCATTACCCACAACTATACTACTGCCATGACTTTAAACTTGGAAATTCCTCTCTGATCATAACCTCTTTTCCTTTTCCTCTATGTCTATACTCCATACCTCGTAAACATTTCTTTATTCTTCCTATCACCCTTAGTCCCTCCACCCTTCCAGTTCTTCCTGTCTACCACTTTCATCTCAGTTAACCAGTTCAAATGAACACCCTCCCCTATGTCAATCTCTTGTCCTTGGGTTTCATTGTTGCTAACATTTTGCCAAAAAATGAACTGTCAGTGGAGATGTGGCAGAAGAGAGATTGCTAATGAAAAGGTAACCCATAGACCTGTGAATCTTTGAGGAAAGTTCCTTCATCAACAACATTTCAAAGTTCTATTCCCCTGACCAACCAGCTAAATAACAGCTTGCAAATCTACCTGGTTTAACTTTACTCACCAGGAGAGGAACCCCTTGGGACTCTTCTTTCCAACATCCATGGTGCTTCTCCTTGTTCCAACTGGTAGATAACATCTGGTTTGGAAATTGGAACTCCTGAAATAAAGGAGAGAAAATAGGAAATTTCTGAAGAAAACTAAGAACCCTAGTCCCTTCCTCTTCAGGAAAAAGAAAACTTTCCTAAAGAGTTGTACAAGGTCCCAAACTTAAGGTGTTGCACTGAGGATCAGTCTCCAGAATAAGACAGATGAGCATTCTATTGTATTGTGCACTGGCTGCACCATATACAGAGTAATTTGTTCAGTTACAGAAACCATATTTTAGGAAGGACACAGATGAAATAGGATACATTCAAAAGGTGGCAAGAAGGATAGTGTGGATACTAGGGAGCATGCCATGAGGATTGTTTAAAAGTGAAGTTAGCATCCAAGCAAAAGATGAATTAAGACTTATCGGCCTTAGTCCCAAAGGGCAGAATTAGGAAAGAAGAACAGGGTAAAAACCGTTTTAACAATTAGATTTACCCAAAAGTAAAACAGACTGTTTCAATAGGTAGTGGGTTTTCCTTCCCTATAACTTTTCAAATGGAGGATGTATGACCACCTGTGAGGGATGTTGTAGAGGGGACTGCTGTTCAGGTACAGACTGAACCAGTCTTAAGTACCTTCCAATTCTGAAACTACATATGTGCACACGTGTGCGTTTGTGTTCTACAGAGTGGAGGTAAAGTGAAGGGGGGAAAGACAGGAGTGAAAGCTAAGATGGGCTTTAAAAATGCAGAATAAAAAAGAAAATGAGTACATTAGTACTCTCGAGTTTAGAAGGATGGAAACATTTCATGTCTTCTGGTATTTACACTGGGACTTTTGGGAAGGATCTCTGATCTAAGGCACCAGAGAATGAGAAAAGTATAGTCTAAGGATACCATAATGAAGCTGCACATTTTGAATTCTCGAAATAATAAATTAAGAACAGAAAGCAGAAAACACTCCTTTATTAACTATAAAGAGATTATAAATTTCTGACCCCTGCAAGCAAACCAAAACCCAATTAATCACATTAGGTACTGTTACACCTTTTCCAATCAAGGACAAAAAGAGACTCTGAAAGGCACATTCTGAGCTACAGAGAAAAGCCATTCTTACCCAGGGAAATGAGGTTCTTATAGTTCTCCAACATTACTTCCCTGTACAGGTCTTTCTGAGAAGGTTCTAGTTCTTGCCATTCTTCCTTAGTGAAGTCTACAGCTACATCCTTGAATGTTACCGATACCTGGAAACAGCAAGCACATTCCTACTTAACCACGGCTTATTATGATGGAGTCAGGAGTAGAACAGTTTACCCCTTACACATTGTTTACCCAAGTGAAGCCCAGACATGTAAAACTCTCTGCACAAAATTCTAAACCATACAATTAACATAGGGCTTATATTTCAATGCCCAAAATTAACACCAATAACCACATTCCAAATATTAATTTCTACTTGCATTCAGCATGTTAGTATTTGAGTAAAACAATCTGATTAGCCATCTCTTACAAGGCAACTTTAAGGAAAGAAAAGCAAGCATCACAACTACTTCTACCATCAGACCCTGATGAAGATGTCCAAGAACGTTGAGCCTAAGAGTCTTAGGCACAACAATGCCCCCCAAATCACCAGAACTGGTTCCAGCTCAGCCCCTACAGCCATCAATAAGGAAAGAAATCATTGTGGAGAGGGCCCCCCCCCCATCCCCATCACCTTCACCACCACCACCACCACCATTGACCACCACCATTGACCACCCCTGGGAGAGGCAGTAGCCTGTAAATCACTGATCCTACATCCAACTCAGCCGTCTCTTGTGGAGAAGAGCTCAGTCCTTCCCACCAACCGTCACCGGCAGGGTAGACAAGCCAGCCAAGTTGAAGCATGTACAACAGTCACTTCTCAAGGAAAGAAACACAAGCTGTCAACAACCACATATACATCCAATAAGAATAATAAGAGAAATGCAAGCGAAAATAAATGTGAGGCTGTACATCAACTCTGTCACATTGGCAAGGATAACAAAAAGGAAAATAAATGCTGGAAGGTTTTGGGAAAACAAGAACAATAATACACAACTGGGAGAAAAGTGAATTGACCCAACTATTCTAAAAAGCTCTTTGGAACTACATCTAAAGTGTCACTAAATTTTGCACTCTTTTTGACCCAATGATATCACTAAAAGGGCCATCTCTTCAGATGAGACATGAAGAAAGGAGGAAATATTAGGGGAAAAGAGAAGCTCTTGACAAAATGCCCTCAATTTTTTGTGTGTGTGAAGTATGAGGCAAAGGTCTTTAGCTGAGAGGGTAGATAGAAGGGATATTGTGGGAAGCTGGTGGAGGGATAAAAAGTTTTGAAATAGCTGTTGTGGTGAGTTACAGAGGTGTAAAAGGATTGCTTTGCTACACTGAAGATCCAGTTGAGATCATCTAACAAAAATCTGTAATGGACCCAACCAGCAGTCTTGTGATTTTCTCCAGCTCTGTTCTGCAGAACACAAATAGGACTGAAGGGGGTGGAAGGAATCCAAAGTGAGTTTCAGCAAGGAATTTTCAGTAATAAGACAAAAGGCAAGAGAATGAAGTATAGAGAGGATAGGATAGAGCTGAACTGATTCATGCAGGCACTGAGATGGGGAGGGGAGGAGAGTGTAGTCCTATAAAAACTGTGGCAGGAATGTTATAGCTCAAAATGAGCTGAGGGTGGCAAGCGAAGCTAATGATAAAAGGAAGGTTTTTTTGTTGTTGTTGTTGGGTTTGCAAATTCAACAAAGCATTATTTTAAGAAAAGAGAGGGCCAAAAAGGGACAGGACTTTTTGCTTAGAATGGATGGGATGATATATGACAACTGACAATGGAAGGTAGAGCTATTCAACTTGTATTTTGTTTTCTCTACAAAAGAAAATAAGCTAGGTTTTCTTGCAAAAATCATCTTTGGTCCTGACTGGTATGGCAGAGATGAGACATTATATAGATATGATATACTTTTCACATGATAGTCTTTTTTGTGAACCTGAAGGAATTCTTCTTTAATTTTGAAGCTTAATAAAGATAAATACAGATATCTATATAGAGGTATACATATATAAAACATACATGGGAGAAAATGGAATTTTAAATTTCTTGTTAAAGTTCTATAGGATCTTTTCATTTAGGAGATATATGAAAATAGAGGGAAAAAATTATGTTATCCCAATTGTGGAAGGAAGAAAATTTCTTCAATGGCTTCAGTTTTGACTTAAGAACTCAAGAATTACTAACTTTCTATTGTTTCAAGGATATAAATAATAATAGCTAGCATTGGAGACAGCTTTAAGATTTGTACGGTGCTGTATATGTGATCCTTATGACAATCTTACGAGGCAGTTACTATTATCTCCATTTTGCCGATAAAGAAACTGAAATGAAGCGACTTGCTCAGGGTCACACAGCTTGTAAATATGAGGCTGCATTTGGTCTTCCTCACTCCAAGTTCAGCACTCTCCCCCACTTTGCTCCTAGCTGTCTACAAATTCTGCAACTTGGCACCGAACACTCTTCACAATACAAATCCAAGTTACCAATTCCAGACATTTCACATTTCTCCCCTTCACACATTATACAGAGATGCCAGTGATAACTGAGAGCAGCTTAGAAATCATATCTGCCAACTCTTTTAAGGACTCAAGGATTTAGCTTATCTAAGTCAGGTGACTTGAAATAATCAGAGGCATCAAGGTGCTCTATTACCATTCTTTATTTACCCTGGGTATCAACTCCCTTTTGGTGATTTATCATCTGTAAATTTAGTTTTATTCTTTCAAATCTATACAGCCAGCCCAAAACCTCTCTCAAACTCCAGTCTTTTGTAATCAATTGACTGAACAGCTCTGCTGGATGTCACACTGATTTACCAAACTGAATAATTCTAAAAATAATTCATTATCTTTCCTCCTAAATCACCCTCATCCAAATATCCCTATTCCTGTCAAAGGCATTCCCCCAATCGCCAAGGTTCAAAATCTTGTAGGCAGGCAGCTAGGTGGTACAGTGGATAGGGCACCGGTCCTGGAGTCAGGAGGACCCAAGTTCAAATCCGGCCTCAGATACATAACACTCACTAGCTGTGTGACTCTGGGCAAGTCACTTAACCCCAATTGCCTCACAAAAAAAAAAGTTAACGCAAAATCCTGTAGCCACTCCCCCGCCACATTCAGTCAATACTGTACCAACCCAGTATTTTTCCTAACTATCCCCTTCTTCAGACTGCATTTGGCTTCAGTGACCAGCTTGTGCTGCAGTTTGGCTAGGATGTAGAGCTACTGATAGATTTGCAGATAGCTATAAAGGAACATCCTTTGTATTAATTATAATTACTCCTTTCCTTAAAAGAAGCAATGAAAAGTATGTTATTCCTATACAATGTTTCTTCCAATTAATTCAACTGTTGAATCAGTTGGGCAAATGAAGCATTTCCAAACCTTTTCTCAGTAAATTCTGTTGTTTTCCTCTCCCTTTTAAAGACAATCACTTGAGGGAAAGGCTACTCAAGGGCTCTCCCTACATAACTAAAGAATTACTAAATGACTTGTAAGTCCAAAGGTTGTTTCCCCTCATTAGGGAACATAGATACTTTCTAGGAAGTATAAATATATACCTGAATTAATAGAATACTAAATAAATCAATAGTGGGGCCATAAGTAAATTAGTAGTGGTAGATGTCTGTCTGTCTTTGTTTAGAAGCAATTTTCTTTCTTTTCCCCCTCCTGTTGGGCACTGAAGGGAAAACATTCTACTCTAGGGAGACCCACCCCCCACCAATACCACTTCCAGAAGGAACCTTCTTGTGTATAAGAATCCCTGGGCCTGCTCTGTACTTTGTTAAGATCTCTTCTTTGCTTTTCTATTAAATAATCTAAGCTCAAAGTGGAAGAGAAGCAGGTCTGCAGGCTTCTCTTACTTGAAATATATTTTATTACCAATCATCAAACTAGATATTACCTAAGTATTGTACCAATTATGAACTTCTCTATGCTTTTCCCATTTGTATATGTGTTTTATTATTTGAACGGCTTCAATTAGGAAATAATTTGTTTTAAAATAAGAAAAGAAACATATGCACACCTGTATGAATACATACATATACCCTTTGTAGAAGCTTGGTTTTGTTAAAATACCACAGTGATCACTTGTCATTAACTTTGCGTTGCTAAGGCTGAACCCCAGCCTTGGTACCTGCCTCCAAAAAAGCTATGAGCTAAAGAGAGAAAGCACTATATAGAAACTCCTCCATGCCCTCCTGAGCCAGAGGGCAGATCTCAATATCTCTTTAAACATTTAGGCCCTGTCTCTGAAAAACAAAAACTTGGAATTGATAAAGTTAAAATTTAACTTTGGTCTCTGACTTCCTGAACTCTAAACTATAGATATTAAAAATGGGTAAAATTTATTAAGAACAACACAACTCATGTGAGGAAGTGAGACCTCTTTCTTCACATAAGTAAAAGCCCTAAAACGCCCAGACCTTTGCTTTCTTCATGGACCTACTTCCCGGCTGCTGGTGCTTAAACCACTAGATTCTGCAGTGGGCCCAAAGCCAGAGATCCTTGAGGCCTGCAGGAGCACACCCCTTATTAGAACTTCCCAGGCCTTCACTGCCACGTTCTCATTTGAGATTAAGTACCAGCCAGCTGTATCTCTATCAATCAAATAAATCTAGCTTCCAACAGGGAGTGAGGGAGAATGAGTATTTATTAAGTGCCTACACTGTGCTAGGTACTGTGCTAATTCCTTTCTAAACATCATTTCATTTGATCCTCACAACAACCCTGGGAGGTACTTATTGTTATCTCATTTTACAGTTGAGGAATCTGAGGCCGACAGAAGTGATGTGACTTGCCTAGGGTCACACAGCTTTTAAGTATTTAAAACTTTTTTTTGGAACTCAGGTCTTCCTGACTCCAGGCTTAGCATTTTACACACTGTGCCCAGACTTTTATTTCTCTGATGTGGTCACTGACTTAGCACAAAAGTCACCCATTTAGAAAGTATTTCCTGATGAAGATGAGGGTAGACGAGAGAGCTTGATCACCTCTTTTAAACTCCAATTCAAAGGCTGGAAGGCTAATTAGGAGACTACTGAAATAGTCAAGGTGATAAGGGCCTGAGTTAGGATACAAGGCAGTAGCACTGTGAGCGGAGACAAGGTGAGGATACAAAAGATTTTATGGATGTAGAATCAATATAAGTTAGCTTTGCTCAAGGATAATTTTTTGTGTGTATGTTTTCTCTCACCAATAAGGCTCTTTGAAGGCAAAGGGGTCTTCAGATTCTTGTATTTGTTTCTCTTAAAACATTTAGCTCAAAATAAGCAAATGGTAGGTATGGCTGAAAGATGGTGGTAGGATTTGGTGTTCGGTCAGCACTTTAAATTTTACAAAATATTATAGATTAACTCATTTGATCACCAAGTAAGTCAGAAAGTGGGGAGATATCAGGGTTCAGCAATTCTCAAAGACTACCTACTAAGTCATAAAGAGGACCAGTTTTCCACGGAAGAAAGGAAACCAGCACTTATTAAGTACTTATTCTGTATCAGAAAGTACCCATATAGATAAAATTACAGAGTTTTGATAAACAGCTAGGCCTCATTGGTATAAATAATGAATACCCTGAACTTGTCCCACGTACGAAGATCTGTACTATTCAAAGTTGTAATTATGTAGGACGTGGTAATTGGTTCCAGCACAATGGAAATATGCAATATGAATACGAATGATGTGACCACTTCAGGGGGCTTTATTATTTGAACTAATGGGGTGAACCAGTACTGTAAACATTAGGAATAGTATTATCCCCATTTTACAAACGGGCAAACATAATCCAAAAAGTCAAATGAAGCCTATGGCAAGTCTAGATCTTCGCCCACTCCAAATCCAGCCCTCTTTCTGCTCTGCTATAATGCTTCAATGAATAACCAACTCACGTAGAGAGGAGAGGGATACTGAGGAAGAACATTAAAGGAGACAATGACGGGCATTTTCTACAGAGTCCTGTGGTTTAGTGGAAAAAGTACAGAACTGGAGGTTGAGAAACCTAGTCCAAATCCAACCTCTGGAAATACTGAGCCCATCACTTCATGTCAAGGGCCCAAATAAGGAGGTCGTACGAGATAATCTCTAATGTTCCCTTTAACTCTTACAAATAACTACTTCATTTGCCGAAATATGCTGCCTTCTTAGAGAAAGCAATTAGGGTTCAGGTCTCTGTACAGAATTTGGATGGGCAGGAAAGACCAAGGAGAACAGAACAAAAAGCAGCCGTACTCTGAGAACTGAGAATATTTCAGGAGAGGAAAAACCCCTAACTTACCCGAGACCTGGCTGTTAGAAGCCCAGGGATCATTCCCTCCTCTTCTTCCACTATGCTCTGTCTTGGAAGAAGGACAGAGCCTTGAGAAGGCACAGCTGAGAGAGAAGAAAGCAGTTAAGATAGAAAATATTCTTGATTTTCAGTATCCAAATTCACTAAGCTATACCTCCCCACGTTAGGTGAGTATTACCCCAAACTCCTTACATGAGAGGTTGTCAATAACTCTGGAGCAGCCTCAGATACTTCTGGGATCAGAGAGAAGAAACTCAGACTTTATACGGAAGCCCTGACTCTACAGTCATGACAGGCTCCAAGCGACATGGCTGGGAATTAGAACACATGGGTTAAATTCATAGCCACATCCCTTCTGTGATGTGGAATATGGACTCTGTACCTCGGTCATCTCATTTAGTCACTATCTCAACATGCTCCAAACAAAATTCATTATCTTTCCTCCCAAACTTCTTCCAAATGGCCTTATTTCTATTGAGGGCACCAATACATTTGCATCTTCTGGGTTCACAAGTCTGGGTCATCCTTGACTTTTCACACTCCCTCATCCCACACATCCTATCAGTTGTCACACTGTGTTGTTTTTACATCCACCCCCTTCTCTACACTCACTTTTAGCTCAGGATTTTATCACCTCTCACCTGAACTATGGAAACTTGCTCCTAACTGGTCTCCCAGGCTCATGTCGCTTCCCATGTTGACGCCTGATTTTGCCCAATTCTAACCATATCACTTCCCTATTTAATAAACTCCATTTTATTATGGAGTCCTTACTTCCCCTAAGATAAAAAATAAACTACTGTTTGGTTTTAAAAGTCCTTCACAACTTAGCCTCAAACTACCTCTCCAGCTTTATTGTTCTCTTTCCTGTACTCCATGGTCTAGCAAAACTAGTCTTCCTCAACCTACCTACCCTCAAATACATCTCCCAGCACTAGCATCTCTGTTCCGAGAAGTCCTTCGTGCCTATAATGCACTACTCCTTCCTTGCCTCCATCTCACAGACTCGCTCCCTTTCGTCAAACTCAGATCACTTTTCTTCATAAATTCTTTCCTGATCCCCTCAGCTGCTAGTGCCCCACCTATTACCTTATATTTATTCTGCATCTACTCATATATGTACATCGTTGTTTTCCCCAAACAGAATGTAAGCTCCTCAAGAGAAGGAGCTTTCTCATTTTTATCTTTGTTCCTGGCACACAGTAAGTAGATACATTAACTTCCCTGGGCATCAATTTCCTCATCCGTATAATAGGATTCAACTAGATGACCTCTAAGGTCCCTTCTAGCTCTAAATCTACGATCCTATATGATGTTGTCAAATCGTATATAAATAAAAGTGCTCAAAGGGAATGTGATTCAGCTGGAGAACAGACATTATTCTTACATACACTATATATATAATCACATACACACATAATACAGTGCTTTATGAGTTGCAAAGTGCTTTACAAATATGATCTCATTTTATCCTTACAACAGCTGGAGAGAGTTGCTATTATTATCCCCATTTTACAGATAAGGAAACTGAGGAAAACAAGTTAAACGACTTGTGGGGTGGGGTACAAGGCTAAGAGTGTCTGAAGCAGGATTTGTACTCAGTTCTTTCTAATTCCAAGGCCAATGCTCTTAACCCAGGAGAGCATGCACAGGTCTCTCTCTTCAATTATATCCCCCCAAAAATTCCCCCTGAGTCTTCACCCCCATTAGAAGGATAGTATAGCTTTGTGGACAAGACACTGACATGCCTTGGAGTCAGTAAGACCTCGTCTCAAATCCCACCTCCCAATCTCCCAGGTGATCTTGGGCAAGTCACTTAAGCTCTGAGTTCCCTTCCATCTGTGGATGAACCACCCTGGGATCTCTCTTCCCTCCACTGCTCTACATGAAACTCTCCCAAGCTCTGCTGGGCAGGCGGCCCTTAGGTACACACATACACAGTCTTCCTGCCCCTCCCCACCAAACAGTCTCCAAATTAGAAATGCTCAGAGCCCCACGCAGCCCCCACCTCGTCCCCTCCTCCTCCTCCCCCAGGCCCTGCAGGCACACTCAGATCCAGAAACAGACACAAATGCACTCAGATGCCCCGCCCCCCTCTCCACCTCCCTCTGCCCTAGGCCCTGCAGGTCAGGCTCATACGGAGACACTGACGCTCGGACACAGGACCACAAAGACACACGGACACTCCCACCCCCGCAGGCCACGCTGCAGTTACACACACGCATGCTTCCGCAGGTCGTGCAGGACACACTGCTCAGACACAGGCGTGCACACGTATACACACACTCTCAACCTCCATAAGGCACACTTTCCTCCCAGGCCCTGCAGAGCACGCAGCTCACACGCGCGCTCACACACCCTTTCCCTCTCCCCCAGGCCCTGCGGCGCACGCTCATACACACTCGTCGGGCCCCTTCCCTCCCCGGTCTCCTCTGCTTCTGGCAGCCTGGCCGCCGCCCTCCAGCCGGGCACAGTCCGGGGAGCTCGCTCGCTCGCGCGCTCACCCATCCTCCTTGCGGCTGCTGCGTCAGGAGGGAGAACAAAGGGTCGAGGAGAGCCCACTCCCACGCGGCCCTGCGGGGGGTGGCCAGCCAGCCACGATCCGCCCTGAAGCTGCGGGATTCAGGAGCCGCGGAGACCGGCGACACCGCTTAAGTACCGGGCTCGGGAGATGGAGTCCCGAGAAAGAAATGGGTCGCGGCTCGAAGGATTCTGGGGAATGTAGTTCTACACCTACGTCACGTGTTCCGCTAGTGTAGGGATAACTGGGCTGCAGAAACCTCGGATTGACGCCCTCCTTTGTTTCAGCCTTAGCCGATGAAGTCGGTGTTCTTGTCGCTATCTAACTACATGTACTCATACCTGTCCCGTCTCTTTCCTTTAGAAAGAGTTGTGTTCGTTCATTGCCCCCTGTGGTTTACCCTCTGTTCCTTTGCCAGACTTTTGCCACCTGGCTTCTGACCTCTGCATTTTATTCAGTCTGCTTACTCCAAGATCACTATGGCCTCTTAATTCTTCAGTTTGATGGACTGAGAAAGTCTCTCAGCTTATTCCTCAACTCCTACTCGCCCTGGATCTTGATGTACCTTTTGTTTGATACTGTTGACCACTCCCTCTTCCCAGATATTTTCTCACCCTCTTGACTTTTGTGATACTCCCTTTTGGTTCTAATACATTTATGGCACGGTCTCAATCTGCTTCTTGATCCTTCTGGCCCCCAAGGATGAGTATTTCCAATGCTTTCTCCTTTTTTTCTCTACCTTGGTGATCTCATCTGTTCCAACTTCTCTCTCGGTCTCTCTTTCTCTCTAGCTCTAATTACTGCTGTGAATTGTTTGGCATGTCCAGCCTGAAGGATAGATAACGCTTGTCCGAAGTACCTCAAACTCAACATATTCCAAACTGAACTCCATAATCTTCCTCTCTAAAACTGCTCCTCCTCCAGGTTTCCATCTCTATTTATCCTCCCAGTAACTCAGATTTGAAACCCTGAAGTCATCTGAGTCTTGTATTCTGCTCCCCCTTCTCTCTCCTACCATCCAATCCATGGCTTAAGTCTGTCAATTCTACCTTTATAACTTCTCTCCTCATCTCTCCACGCAAATTTCCACTTCTCTAGTTCAGATTCTTATTACATATGCCTTGGACTAATGCAGTATGGACCTCTAAAAAAGTTTGAGAGATATCATTTCTAGGTAATTAGTAATTTTATTAATAATGCTAGCATTTTATTAATAAAAGGGTCAGTGACACTCTTGAATGCCAAAGACCAATCATGGAGGTAGGCTCGCAGTTTATGTGCCCTTGGAAGAGTGGGTGTTCCTGAGGGTGGCATTCAATTCAGGTTAACAATTAAGGAGAAAATGAATATCAGGAGAGGTGGGTTTATTCCAATGAGGGTCTTGAAGTACCTAATACTGAGCACCCGAATCATGGTCAAAGAGTCTTTATCAATTTCCATATCACCCGTCTGACAAAAGGGAGAATCCGCATTTTCCCTGACCTGAGTAAATACCACGAGCAGGAATCCACCCATTCACCTAAATTTAGAATTTCCTTACTGGCTTTGATTAGACTTCAGCTGGGTTAAGTCTTTGCCCAAGATTTCCCATGCTGGTTGACTTCTGGATGAGGAAGTAGAAAAGGGGGAAAACTTTGGTCCTAATTCAATAATTAGTTATCAATATATGAAAGAAATCATCATTTCTCTCAGCAGTATCACACTAGCTGATCTCCCTGCCTCCAGCATCTTCCCTCTTTAATCCATCATTCACTCAACTGCCAAAATAATCCCATGAACATTTCTGACCAAGTCTCTCTCATACTCAAAAACCTTTGTTGGTTTATGTCAATAAATACTGAGTTGCCTTTAGGATAAAATGCCAACTTCTATGGCCAAAATTTAAAACTCTACATAATCTGGCTCAAAGTCATTGAGAGTCAGTTCAATGGAGATGAAAATTCAGAAGACCTTAGTTCAATTCCTTATTCTAATCTTTGTGACTTTAACTTAATTTTGCTGTTCCTCAAAGGTCTCATCTGTAAAATGAAGGGGTAGACCTAATGATATCTGGGGTCCCCTCCAACTCTAAGGACGTAGTCCTATGATCATATCATTCCTCTACTGCAGTCTATATTCCAGAACAAATAGACTGAATGCAGTCTTACCAACTCCCAGTGTTTACACAGCCCAACACCAGTGCTTGCATGTACACTCTCATTATTGCTGTCCTTCAGAATTCTTTTCATCCTTCAACTCCCAGCTCAGCCGCCAACTGCTCCATGAAGGCTTAGATGATCTCCTCAAATGAAAACGTTCTCATCCTTTACCATTCTCTACACAGTTCCCAAACTGATATTCCTGTAACATAGGCTTGACCATATCAGTCCCTCTACTCAAGATGTTTCAGTGGCTCCCCATTTCCTTTATTTATTTTTTTAAAGTTTTATTGATAATTTCATGTCCAAATCACATACATTTAATTAATTTTGTTTCTTGCCAATTAACAAAAATAAAATTCCAATTTCTCCCACCTTGCTCCCCCCATAAAAAAGCCTTATAATAAGAATTTAATCAAATAAAACGAAATCTCACCTTGACTGTGTCCAAAAAAGTTATATCTTATGTTATGCCCCGAGTCCATCTACCCTCTATCAGGAGGTAGGTAGCATGCTTCATCATCTCTCATCAGGAATCATAGTTAATCAACGTGTTGATCAGAGTTTTCAAAATTGTTTGTCTTTACAATGTTATAAATTATTGACCTGGTTCTGCTCACTTTACTCTTCATCAGCACATATAGTTCTTCCTAGGTTTCACTAAAACTATCCTTTCATCATTTCATACAGTATACTATAACTTGTTCTGCTATTTCCCAATTGGAGGGCATCTTTTTTAGTTTCCAGTGTTTTGCCACTAAAAAATGCTGCTATAAATAAGTAAATATACCTATATAATATAGGTCTTTTCCCTCACTATTTGATTTCTTTGGGTTATAGGCCTACTAGTGGTATTGCTGGGGCAAGGAATATGTACAGTTTAGTAAATTTAAGGAGATAGTTACAAATTCTTTTCCAGAATAACTGTGCCACTTCACAGCTTCACCAACAGTACAATGCTATGCCCATTTTCCTGAAGTTCTCCAACATTTGGCTTTTTTTTTTATATCAACTTTGCCAATATGGTGGTTATGAGGTAGAAACTTAGTTGCTTTTAATTTACATTTTTCATTTATTAGTGATTTGGAGCACTTTTTCATTGATAGCTTGGATTCTACTGATAACTTAGATTTCTTTCTTTGAAAACTGCCTACTCAGATTCTTTGGGGAATAGCATTAATTCTTATAAATATAAATCAATCCCTTATATATTTTGGAAATGAGACTTGTCAAAGAAATTTACTATAGGATTTTGGGGAACCACATCCAATTATCCACTTCTCTAATTTTGGCTACAATGATTTTGTGTGTACAAATGTGTGTGTGTGTATGCACATGCATACACACACACACAATGTTCATTTTATCTGTGATCTCTAGTTTGGTTCTAAATTCATCCTTCATTCACATATCTGAAAGGTAATTTCTTCCTTGCTCCTTTAATTAGTTTATGATCATGTACCCATTTGGAATTTATCTTAGTATATAGTGTGAGATACACACACACACACACACACACACATGCACACACAGAGAATTTCTGCATGATTGAGTTCCATTTTCTCCAGCTGTTTTTTTTTTTTTTGTCAAATATTGTGACTTCTTACAGTAGCAGCTGTGGTCTTTGGGTTTATTGAATACTAGGCTACAGCGTTCATTTGCTTCTGTAAGTCATGTTCCTAATCTGTTCCACTGATCAATCTCTCTATTTCTTAACTAGTACCAAATCATTTTGGTGATTATTGCTTTGTAATATAGCTTGAGCCCTAGTACAGCCAAGCTTTCTTCCTTCCAACTCTTAAAAATTATTTTCCTTGAGATCATTGGCCAATTATTCTTCCAGATGATTTCTTTCTTTCTTTTTTTTTTTCCTAGCTCTTTGTTAGTTTGACTGAAATGTCACTGGATAAATTATTTCTGGTAGTATTATTATTTTTATTTTATTGACTCACCTTACCCATGAGCAATCAATATTTCTCTAATTATTTATGTCTATATTTCTATAAACAATGTTTTGTAATTGTATTCATATAGTTGCTGAGCGTGTCTTGGCAGATAGACTCCCAAGTATTTTGTACGATTCTATAGTTGTTTAAAATGGAATTTCTCTTTCTACCTCTTTCTGCTATGTTTTGTTGGTAATATATACATATTGATAATTATTGTGGATTTGTTCTACACCTTGCAATTTTGCTGAAGTTATTGGTTAAATTAATTTTTAGTTGACTAGGGTTCTCTAAGAAAACCACCATATCATCTGCAAAAAGCAATATTTTTGCTTCTTCTTTGTTTATGCTTATTTCCTAAAATTATTTTTCTTATCTTCTTATTATAGCATTTCTAGCACTATATCAAATAGCAGTGGTGATAATGGACATCCTTGTTTTACCCCTGATCTTATTGGAAAGGTCCTTAAATAATACTCGTCATATAAAATGCTGGCTTTTAGTTTAGATGGATGCTACTTATATTAAAGAATGATCTGGGTTTTTTTCCTAGTATTTCTTTTTAAGCAGAAATGGGTGTTTTATCTTAGATTTTTGCCACCATTGGTATAATCACATAACTTTTGTTGTTCTTGTTAATAAGATGCTCAATTATGTTTACACTTTTCCTAATACTGAACCAACCTTCTTTTCATAGCATAAATCCAACCTGTGAGTGTATAGTCTTTGCAATAGGTTGATGAAGATTCTTTCCTAATATTTTATTTACAATTTTTACAGTAATGTTCATGAGAGATACTAGTCTTAAAATTAGATATTAGTTTTCTTTCTCTATTTTGATTCTCCCTGGTTTAGCACTTAAGACTATATCATTGAAAAAATTTGGTAGAATCCCTTATTTTACTATTTTTTTCTGATATTTTATGAAATATTCAAATTAATTATTCTTTGAATGTTGGATAGAATTTGCTTGTAAATCTACCTAGTCCCAGTAGGTTTATCATCATCATCATCATCATCATCATCATCATCATCATCATCATCATCATCATCATCATCATCATACCACCATCACCACCACCAT